AGTTGCCCAGGCCCTGCAGGACAGGCCTTTGTCCTCTGGGCCCTGTGGCAGCAGTGTGGGGTTGCACCACCAGAGGGCTGCTGGTGGTGCAGCTGTTCAGGACTTCACAGCACAGCACTGTGTTCCACACAGGCCGACAGCATCTGCACCCTTTCTGAGCACCTCGTGGAGCTGCTTCATGATGGAGACAGAGATGTGGTCGGGATGGCCCTCTCTGTGTTCCTGAATATTCTCCAGGACAAGGACATTGAAGAATTCAGCTCCACTGCCCCAAAGCTGGCTGAGGCACTCCCGCCACTCTTTGATAACGTAAGGCTCTGGCTGCCTGGTGCTGCCGGCAAGCTTTGTTCCCTGTGGTTTTTCAGGTCTGGGCCTGTGCCAGCTGGGCCTGGAGTAGCCAGTGCTGAGGTATTTTTCTCTTTCTGCACCAGGATAATACCCATGTGCAGCTGCTCTCCATTCACCTCTTCAGAGAGGTGATGGAGTGGCTTGCAGAAGACGGAAGAAAGACCTTGAATATGCAGGTGCACCAGAGCCTGGTCCCCCTGTTCTTCCATTTGCACGAGGAGAACCAGTGCGTGGCAGAGGTGAGCATTTGTGGGCTCTGGTGTCCCTGTGCCAGGTCCTCGGCTGTCTCCTGCCCTGGTGCCTCACAGGCTTCAGCCTCCTCCTGGCCCTGGCCCAGAGTGCAGGTCCTGTGCCGTGGGCTGTGGTGCCATGTCCCGGTCTCTGCTGCTCTGCAGGCCTCTCGGGGTACACTGCTTTGTGCAGCAAGTTTCCTCAAGAGGAGGGATCTCGAGCAGCTGCTCAGGAGACAGCAGCCATTCAAGTTTGTCGATTGCCTGGTAAGGATAACCCCGAAGGTCCAGCCTCAGGCTGGACAAGCCCCCAGGCCCTGATGCCCAGGCAGTACCTGGACAAAGGGCAGAACCTGAGCCAACCCTTCCCTCCGTACCCTGCTGCTCTCTGCAGATGGACAAGGATGCGAGCAGAAGGGCTGAACACCTGCGCCAGGCCGTGCCATACCTGCAGAGCCGACAGCAGCCCCTGCGAGAGGCGGCCATCCGGTTCATGGGTGAGTTACAACCCCGCGGTCCCTCCCTGCTCCCCTGCAATTTGGCCCCAGCCCCGGATGCTGCAGTGGCAGCAGGATCAGGCCCAGGGACCTGCTGTGGAGCCCTGAGTGCCCTGGTGGCAGCTGCCACCCTCTGCCAGTGACACCCTTGGGTGTCCCCATGCGGGTAGGCCCCAGTTTCAGCCCTGCCAGGCCAGGGGGCTGTGTGTGGCCCGGCTGGCAGTGCCGCTTGGGGGGGAGTTGTGCCAATAAGGCCCTGACGTGTTCTCTGTTCCCAGGGGTCGCCGCCTGGCACATGCAAGACCTGCAGCCCATCATGAAGGGTGAGCGAGGACTGAGGGCTCTCACTGCAGGCTGGCAGGGACAAGCAGACCCTGGGCAGGGAGCTGCAATCCCTGCCCCGCCTCTGCAGGGTTCTGCTCCCTGCACAGACGAGGGCTGCTGTGGGCAGAGCACAAACACAGTTCTGGGGCATGGGGAGGATTGGGAGCCAGCATCTTCCAGCTCATCCTGGTGGCCCCTGCTCCCTCCTGGCCATGGCAAGAGATGGCTGGGATGGATCTGGTGGGAGGGACTCCTTAAGACCCCTCAGATCAAGGCTCTGATCGTGGCTCCATTCCTCTCTTCCAGCCCTCGAAGTCATGACTGAAGATGACTGCCCCT